GGTTGTTAAGTGAGTTTTGCCCCATTTTGCAACCTTTCATGCCACATGATAAGTGAATCATGGCTGTTGTTAAATTAGTAACATGGTTGTAAAGTGAATCTGGCTTCCCCATTGACTTTGCTTGTCAGAAGGTCACAAAAAGTGGTCATGTGGCCCTGGGACACAGCAACCTTCATAAATACATGCCAGATGCCAAGCGGCCAAATTTTAATCACATGACCATGAGAGTGAAAAACAACCATAAATCATTTTTTTCAGTGCCACTGTAACTTTGAACGATCAGCAAATGGAAGGTGGTAAATTGAGCACTACCTGTGGTGTTAAGATTTTGGACTAGATCTGAGGAAATTCAGATTATTCTAATATGCTGGCATGCATAGAAGCTCATTGGGTGATTTTAAGGAAGTAAGTCTCCTCACAAGAAGAATTGGAAGTAGGCCATTTTGATAAAGTGAGATCTAAATCTAACAAATCATAATAACCTCAATAGCACCAGTTGTGGCTAACATAATATGTGTTGCTTTCTTCTCTGTTGACAGATATGGTTGATTTTGTAGAAAATAGTAAATGTTCTGTTAAGCCATTCTATTGGAAAAATGTATGTCACGAGAGGTCATTGATGCTAATTTATCAAGTTGCACTGCCAAGGTTGATAACTTGATTGACAATTTTTGCACTGCTTTTTTTTATTAAAGGGCACTTTTTCTGTTTTTTCAAGTTAGTAATTATATTTTCCTACATCTAGTATGAGGGTTTGAAGGATTCTGCACATACCTTCCTAGAAAAGGTATGTTTCATTAGAAATCTCAAGCAATTACACAACTGGCATTTCCTCTCAATATTATGAACATAGTAACATGCTGGCCTTTATTGACATTGTCTATGAATTTTGTAAGAATAAAACCGTCAAGTAGAGTATTCAAAGCTATCTGTAAACTACTTGCAATATTAAGTCTGCAGTCAAATAAATGTATTGTAAATTGCACACTACAGTGTTTTAGGAAAATCATGTTTTAAACTCAAAACAACTATTTTAAACTCCAGGGAGAGAGGTTTGGATGAGGATTTGTAGTAATTTGGTCCTAAAATATAAATACTTGGTCAAATTAAATTAATTGTGTGATGATTTATTATGTTTCTTCAGACTGTAGCTCGAAAAATATCATGTGATCTGTTCTTCACAATATTTTTAGAACACAAGAATCAGTAATATGGACATGTGGAAAACTGTATATTAAACCAATTTAAGAACTCAATATAACTAAAAGAAAAATGCATTATATTAATTTCAGCAGTTCTAAATGGTTATAATTAATTCATAAAGCTCTTATTTCTATCTCAGATGCTGGAACAAGGGAGCAGCCTTTGACTGTATGAGAACACTGAGTCTGTTTTGGCAGCTGTTTTTATCATAAATATCCCAAATCAGTAGCTCAGCTTCTCACTGTTTTGAGGCAGGATATATGCAACGCTCTAACATATGCCCTAAAATGGATTTAATACAGTTAAACCTACTGTATTCCAGGACAAAATCCTTGGCTACCCACATGCACAAAAGCCTCCACAATACAAAAAAGATGCTAAGACCCTAGAAAGAGTGCAGAGAAGAGCAACTAAGATGATAAGAGGTCTGCAGGATAAATTGTATGAGGAAAGACTTAAAAAACTAGGTATGCCCAGCTTAATGAAGAAAAGAATTGGGGTGACATGATAGCTGTCTTCTGATACTTGAGAGGCTGCCACAGAGAAGAGAGGATCCACTCATTCTCCAAAGCTCCTGAGAACAGGACAAAAAGCATTGGATGGAAGCTTATCAAAGAAAGATACAACCTACAATTAAGGAGACACTTCCTGACATTAACAATTAACCAATGGAACAGCTTGCCTCCTGGAGTTGTGTGTGCATCATCACTGGAGGTTTTCAAGAAAAGACCGGACAATCATTTGTCTGGATGGTGTAAGGTCTCCTGCCATGGGCAGGGGGTTGGAATTGAAGACCTCCAAGGTCCCTTCCAGTCCTATGACTCTATGATTTGGCATCATTTCCCTGTTCACTGGAGATCTTAGCCCTCCCCACCAATAGTGCTGAGGCTAGTTTTGAAAATATAGCTTATCTTTTCTTGCAGATGAAATTTTTTTTGCACATCTATCATTTTCTTTTGTATATGTGTGTGTGTGTGTGTGTGTGTGTGTGTGTGTGTGTGTATTCATGTATCCATGCGCAGAAGTAAATAACTGAGTCAGGATGGAGAAATGTGTGACTCCCCTTGAAGCATTCCTCAAGAAAGCAAACTTAGAGCTCATAGAAGATTTTTATTTTTTATCTCAATAAAGATTTCAGTAAGGAGATGATTAGTAACGGTGGAGAGCAGCGCTCGCTCCTATTTCTGGAGAATCAATTCTATGCCTGCTTATTAATGCAAAGCTGACCTGTGTGATTTGTATCTCCTTCTCCAATTTTCTTGCTTTACATTGTAATTTGGTGGACAGCAGTTTCCATCAGAACTTCGAAGGAAAAAGCCCTTTATCGGGAGAAGCAAGAAACTGCTCCAGTCTCAATAAACGCTAGCTGTAAATCTCTGTGGGAATAATTAGAGTTTATCTTTTCAGCTTTCTTCTCCATTGCTGTCTATCCTTCACACCACTGCAGTCATCACCACTGTTACTTAATGAACATTTGAGGGACCAATGCTGGGATGATATATGGTGAGGGTAGAGAGATCCTTCAGTGGTTCCCTTTTTCAGTCTTTATCAATAAGGTACCAAGAAAGAGACTATTTGTACAAAGATTTTCTAAGGGATGAGGTAGGTACAATCAATCCTAATACAGTGGTACTTCAATACTAATTGTTAATTGGTTCTGGGAGATGTGAAGAGTACCAAAAATAATGAGTATCAAACAAATTTTCCCATAAGGAATAATGTAGTGTATCACAAGGCTGTCGATACCAAGTTCTAACTTGTGCATTGAGTACCAAACAAATGATGAGTACCAGGACAAATTTTCACATCAAAATGCGTTGAGTACCAAATTTTATGAGTTTCAAAGTAGTTGAGTACCAAGATACCACTGTATAAGAAGTCTAGTTTGGTTGTTGTCACTGAGCAAGTGCTATTATTCACCCAATTATGACTCTTTTAGAGGCTTGCTCAACTTGAATGTCATGGTTTATTCTACTATTGGTTTAATGGTTCATATATTTTGGAGGGGGGGGGTCATTCCCCCAGACTGAAATTCATCCAGCACTGAGGATTGTCAAGAAAAACAAATTCTCCTGAAAGGATGAAAAAGTTCTTTAGGACATTGTCAACCAAAATTCATGTTGGAAGTAAGCCATCATTGGGAAATAACATTGTTTAACCCAGCCTTTCTCATTTAAAGAATGTTGGTCTGCTGTATATATCTAGAGGAGGCATATCAAATTCACGACATCACAGGACATCACGCAATGTATCAGGACTTTTCCCCCATTGCCGGCAATGGGGTGGACATGTTTTTGGCGTGACACATCTGGCCCGCAGGCTGGCAGTTTGACATGCCTGATCTAGAGCTTTCAACTGTGGGTGGAAGAATCTGGATATCCAGGAGATGGCAGCAAAGAGTTTGGGTTTTCTGTATATTTGTGGGCTGCCCATATCTTTGCAGCCCAGATCTGATAGCCCAGTGATATTTTATTCTTAAGCAAGATTATCAGGGAATCATTGCCATTGACTGTGGGAAGACAAAACTGCTCAGAGTTGCACTAATATGAAAATTACTCTCTCATTTTCATTAACAATGGCCAGGTAACACAGCCTCTAAAACAGTTCTTATTTGTTCTGATGGCAGTAATCCTAAAACCTCTAAAAACACCACATGCAGGCACACACAGTTCTTGAAATAACTATGTCTTAGATTTATTTATTTATTTATTTATTTATTTATTTATTTATTTATTTATTTATTTATGAGACTTATATACCGCTTTAAGTGCAAGCACTCTCTAAGCGGTGTACATCAGTAAGCAATGTATATATATATATATATATATATATTTACATTGCCCCCAACAATCTGGGTCCTCATTTTACCTACCCCGGAAGGATGGAAGGCTGAGTCAACCTTGAGCCGGTGAGATTTGAACCGCTGACCTGCTGAACACAGTCAGCTAAAGTGGCCTGCAGTACTGCACTCTAACTGCTGCGCCACCTCGGATCATTCAGACATTAATAGACCTAAGAACTTGATGGCTCCTTCAGTGATGATCACATTGTTTTTAGATTACCATTTTAGACATTAAGACTATAGAGATGAAGCTCAAAATAATTTTCCTCTGTACTATGAGTTTCGGATAACATTGCTTTAGAGACCAATTCTCAGTTGTTGCTTTATAATCCTATAATAAGTAGATACCCTAAGTGTTTTTGAAAGATGTGAGAACCACTTTGGTGTAGTGGTTAAGTCACCAGAATAGAAACCAAGAGATTGTGAGTTCTAGTCCAACCCTGAGCACAAAGCGAGTGGGTGAATTGGAGCCAGACATTATCTCTCAGCCCTAGGAAAATGGCAATGGCTAATCTCTTCTGAAAATTACTAGTCCAAGTAGTTTCCAGGGGTTGAAACTAACTCATAGACATGCATATATAAAACAAGTTTTTGCAACATACAGACTTGCTTCATCTAACATTGTACAATAGAATCTGTGATATTTCCCAGTTTTCAACATAAGCAAAGGAAGCTTATATATGTAATTCATGATGTACTAAACTATGATTGGTTAAATATCCCGCAGTTGGTTAGATTTTTTAAAAAAAATAATTTCATTTCATTTATACAGTCAGTCATCATATTTATATAGCCAACCATCTCACAAACATGACGCTGGGCAGTGTACAATAAAAAAAGCTATTGAACAACCTGTACCAAAAGCATTCCACAATTAGAAGAATATCAATGTTAGAAAGTAGCCATTCCAAAATCTTCACAAATCTATTTTCATAATCTTATTTATGTGTTTCAGATCGAAATGCTAGAGCACAAATATGGGGGCCACTTGGTCTCTCGGAGAGCAGCCTGCACAATTCAGACTGCCTTCCGCCAGTACCAGCTCAGTAAAAACTTTGAGAAGATCCGGAACTCTCTACTGGAGAGCCGCATGCCCCGGCGAATTTCCTTGAGGACACTCCGTGTCCAGAACTCTGAAAATTTCTCTGCTGAGAAAGCCTTGGTAGAAGGCTATAACTTTGTTGGCATCCCCTTGGTAAGATCTCCCTCTTTGCCAGTAACCATTAGTGGGGCACTGACCGAGCTGGAAGACTCTTTCACTGAGCAAGTTCAATCTTTGGCCAAATCCATTGACGATGCGCTCAGCACATGGAGCCTGAAAACCATGTGTTCCCTGCAAGATGGAAGTTCCTATCAGATAAGAGAGACCTTCAGTACGAGCTCCATGCAACCAAACCAAGACTTGGACATGGAACTGAAGGAACAAGAGAAGGAGGAAGGGTTGCTGCCGGACACATTACCAAAGAGCAGCAGCACGCTCATGATGGCCTTCAGGGATGTCACCGTCCAAATAGACAACAAAAATATCTCTGTCTCCTCATCTACCTCAGTGTCTATGGCAAACTGCCTGGCTAACAGTAGCCAGGCTGGGATTTCTTCAGCTGCCAAAATAGAAGAAATCCCAGTGGAAGGGGAGAAAGAGGATAAAGATCTTCAAGTTGTTTCAGAAGGGCAGCCTGATGCTGGAGCCCTCCAGAATAGTCACCCAGTAACTGAGGCGAATCTCAACACGAACGGTTTGGAGAAAGGGGAGGCTGAGCAAGACCAAATGATGATGCCAAAACTTGACTTTGGCTCTGAAAATGGGACTGGGCAGCACAAGGGATCAGAAGCTGAAAATGTAGATAATTTGGAACAACTGAGCAGTAGCAGTACATCCACCTCAGCTAAGTCTGCTTCAGAGTTATCCTCAAAGGAAGCCCTGCAAGCCATGATTTTGAGCCTGCCACGGTATCACTGTGAGAATCCAGCCGTCTGCAAATCACCCACACTTTCTACAGACACCATGAGGAAACGGCTGTACCGCATTGGGCTGAATCTCTTTAACATGTAAGTGACTAACAAGAACATCTCTTTAAAAATCTCTTGTAGCTTTCCTGAGTTCATCAAAACAAGAGACTATCAGGAACAATAAGGTCAAGTGTGGCTTATCCCAGCAGTATGATTTTCTGGTTTAGAGGTTCAGCCTTCGAAGGACCGAGGGTTTTGCATGGATGTTTGGCTGCAAATGCAGGAATAAACATAATCTAGAGCAGTGGTGACGAACCTATGGCATGTGTGCCAGAGGCAGCACTCAGAGCCCTCTTTGTGGGCACGCACACTGTTGCCCAAGCCCCACCTCCCCCCCACAGCCCCCTCCTCACCAGCAGCCCCCCCCCAGAGAGGAGTTCTCCTGGGCACAGCCCATGTGGAGCAGTACAGCCAAGGACATGGCAGCTGGGCCGCAAGGACAAGATTCCGCCCTCATGCCTCATCGCACAGAGATGCTGCTGCCGGGTGTAGGCAGAGGGCGTGGCCGCCATGGTGTTGCAGGGATGCCTGGGCGGTCTGCAGTGGGCCATGGAGGCAGTAGGTGGCCCTACTGCGGGGGCAGGGCAGGGGGCAGGGCAGAGCAGGGCTGGAGTGGAGTGGGCGGGGTGGGGGGTGGAGCAGGGGTGGGCTGGGGGCGGGGCAGGTTTTGGGCACTCAGTCTCTAAAAGGTTCGCCATCACTGATCTCAACCCACATGGTTAGAATCCAGAGGACTATAGACAGATAACGGACTACATTCCAACAAGGTTTGTTGTAATACTCAGGGATATTGCAAGACTGTGTGTATCTTAAAAGAGTTTGAAAGAAAAACATCCTCTGTTTTCAGATACTTTGGGCTGAGATGAATCTCTCAGACCTAAAGATTTTAGCAGCTGTTTTTTTTCTTAGTGGGATGGGATTTGCTGAGTATTATTGGAGACTGTGGCCTATTGGTGGACACTAATGCTACCGAAGGGAGAAAAACGCATTTAGGCACAACAGTTCTGAAAAGTGGAGGCAGGGGACTCTGCCTTTGCATCTCTGAATTTCAATAAACCACAGTGTCATTTTTGCCAAGGACTTTCTTAGTCTCCCCGTCACCCCCCCCCAATGATTATAGGCTAGGATGCTTGCAGATTGTTTTGATTGTGGAAAGTATAAATGCCTGGCTCTACTAAAATGAGGCCTAGATGGCATGACACTCAATGTACTGTAAGTATAGGTGGCTCAAACATTGTAGTCCAGGAACAATCATTAGTGAGTCTTTATCAAATTGGCAAAAGGTATTAGGTGGAATGCCATAAAATTAACTCACAAGCATAATAATTCTTAACTTTTTTTGTATTAATAGATGTAGAAGGATTTTTTTCAGATTTGCTGTTGATAAAAAAGTATCCCAGATTGTCTACCCCTGTCCTTCTAATAGAGACAATATTTATTCATATCACCATTGTGGCTATCTTTTGAACTGAATAAAGAACCTCTACTATTGGGCAGTGTTGAGTTTCAGGGTTTAATGACCATAGTCACATAACAGATTTTCTGATGTTTCACTTGCAACTCGGGCTGATCTCTTCAGAGGCAAGACTGTTTGCTAAAATCTCTTATAACACTTGCTTAATGAGATGTTATTTTGCATGCCCAATAATTCTACAGGGATGCTTTGAAGAATTTGAATGAATAACTGGATGAATAAATAAATAAATGACCTACTTACTACTTTAATGGACTTAGGTGCAAATTCATGTTTGCTCATTGTTTAATATGCCCTTAAAAGGCAGCCTTAAGAAAGAAGCCATTCAGAATGTCGCAGCTAGTATAATCAGCAATGTAATAATACCATTTGTTCCTGTTTAAAGTCCTATATATAATCCCTTTAATTTAGTTTAGTCACCAGTGACTTGACCTATGACTTAATGCATGCTGAGGCACATAATGAATTTATGGTAAATGTTTAGGACTGGTAATATCCCACTACTTTTCACCATATGGACATACTCCTTATTTTTTTTTTATCACAATGGCAGTCTGCATTTTCTCCTTCTTTCCCGTTGGAATTAATTACCTCTTGTGCAATGCCCTGGGTGATAATAATAATAAAAAATGACTTCTGGTTGCCAAATGGTTCTAATGCTACTCCTTTCCTCCATAAGGCTGCATGCATGGGGTCTTAGTTAATAGGAACTGCTCCCTACAGAGCAACAAACTTTATTGCTTTCACTAATAAATGTTAACATGTGGGATGATAAAAAATTTCCCGACAGGATTTAATAAAACCAATGGCTTACCAACAGTAGATATCCGCAAGGGAGAGCCTCTCAGATATGTGGAATTCAGCTCCTAGAATTCCAAGGCATTGTGGATATCTTGCATATCTAGTGAGCCTCAAGTTGGAGAAGGTTGCCCTGTTACAGTAGTCCTTGACTTGCAACAGTTCCTTGAGTGATCGTTCAAAGTTACAACAGCACTGAAAAAAAGTAACTTATGACCATCTTTAACACTTTAACATTGCTGCATCCCCAGGATCACGTGATCAAAAGTCAGATGTTTGGCAACTGACTCATATTTATGACAGTTGCAGTATCCCAGGGTCATGGGATCAGCTTTTGCGACCTTCTTACAAGCAAAGTCAATGGGATTCACTTAACAACCATATTCACTTAACAACAACTGCAGGGATTCACTTAACAACTGTGGCAAGAAAGGTTGTAAAATGGGACAAAATTCACTTTAGGGCTCAGTTGTGGTTGTAAGTTGAGTATTACCTGTATATTATAAGGAGCTTCCTCTCTGGTCTTTTGTATGGCCTTTGCCAAGTGTTCAGTTGTTTTATTCCCATATGAGCAATTACTGAGTAACATTCTGAATTGTGACAGCCTTCTGCACATTGATTGAATGTACTTATGAGTCGGCACTTCAAACAGCCACACATGCCTTGGCGAACGGGTGGAATCCCTAGAACAGAGAAAGCCTCATTATGCAGTGTTGCTATAATAGTGGCAATGTGTGGGCGGCCATCTCTGTAGGCAGAGGGGGAAGCCAGGAGAAGGGAAGAAATTCCACGGCATAACAACCAACTTGCTTAACTTCTCAGGAAAAAAGGGAAGAAATGCTGCCAAGTTAAATCTAGAAGCAATATCGACTGCTAATTGCTATTCCCATCACAGCATAATGCTGCAGGAATGCTGGAGCAATATTACCATGTGGCAACCTACTAATAGCTACCGCATATTCGCCCTGTTAAGACTAGCCAAGTAAATATCACCATGAACAAATGCTTCAAGTGACAATCATCTAATAACAATCAAGCGAAGCCCTTCAGCTACAATTCACCATGAATATAAATTAGGACCTATCACATTTTAATAGTCATTATTCTGTGGAATGAACATGTTGAATTAACATAATGGTTGCCAATTATGTCACCTTTCTTACGTTGGTTTGACTAGGAGCAAGTGAGGTAGGTAGGTAGGTAGGTAGGTAGATAGGTAGGTAGGTAGGTAGATAGATAGATAGATAGATAGATAGATAGATAGATAGATAGATAGATAGATAGATAGATAGATAGATAGATAGATAGATAGATAGATAGATAGATAGATAGGCAGGCAGGCAGTCAGGCAGGCAGGCAGGCAGGCAGGCAGGCAGGCAGGCAGGCAGGCAGGCAGGCAGGCAGGCAGGCAGGCAGGCAGAGAGCTAGATTTGTATTCCATTGTATCAAGGTAATTTATTATGGTAATTTATAGTTTAAAATAGGAAAGACAAGAAAAAAATAAGCAAATATGTCAGAAATGAATGTCATTTTCATAGATCATTACAGCATCAAGGTACTTGGTGGAGTAACTATTGTAAAAGGTAGTTCTAGGTGAGGAAGAATAATTTCAGCTAGAACCTATGGCAAACTTTTACATCTGTTGTTCAGAAGCAATCAAATACTGTTTAGCCACTGCCTTTGTTTAGCAACCGTTCACAGTTACAACGGTGATGAAAAAGTATTTTTATGGCCAATCCTCACATTTACAACTTTCACAGGTTGCAAAACAAAGAAAAATTGTAGGTTTGTAAACACAGTTGTGATTTCACTTAGCTACCATTTTGTTTAACAAAAGAGTAGTCACTAAATGAGGTTTACCTGTACATAATGAAGTTATTTAAGGAAAGGAGATAAAAAGTGATTTATCTCAGCCAGAGCAAAATAATATCAATTTCCTTGTTTCTTTAAGATATTGGAACATGTTGCTTTTTTTAGCACACATAATAACAAACTCTGGAAGGGAACCTTGGAGGTCCAAGGAATATAAACCCTTCCATTCCCCATCATGCAATCAGAATTGAAGAAGCTTCTTGGATGAGAAGCAAAACTTCTTCAAAGAGAAAAAAGAAAGTCCAATTGCCTCCTGAAAAAGCACCTTTGGGATGAGATCCTATGCCATTTCAGACAAATGGCTGTCCAGTCTCTTCTTAAAAACCTCCAGTGATGGATCAAATAGGTAAATATACGATAAATATATGAAGTAGATAAATATATGATCTTACTGAAATTGTCATAGATTGTGTGGGGGTAAAGCAAAGTATGATCAAAGAGGACAATAGTCCTGCCAAAGGCATATGGTTCAGTCATTTAATGATTTGTATCTTACAGCATATATGGCATATCACAGGGTTTCATTTTAAATTATTAGAAATTGATGGCAGCAGAAGAGAATGCTAGGAACCACAGAAAAAAGTTTAGGGAAGAGATCACAAATAGCTTTCCAACTGCAGCTGATCACACATGTTAGCCAAAACTCAGGACCTCGCTGGGCACCTTTTCCAGGTAATAAATTTCACTGAAAGGCATATTCTTTTGTGAGCAGTAGCTCATTCATCCAAAACATCTCATGATGAGCCGTAGCTCAAAAAAGTTTGTGCCCTTTCTTAAAACATACTAAGTGCCAGACTCCTGAGTATGGGAAGAGAAGAGAAAGCTGTAAGAATTAAATCATTGTACCTCTTCAATAAAAAATTATTAGTTTGATTTATTCTGCTACCTTTCAGACTGGGGAACTGCAAGTACTTCCGAAAGCAGAAGATCCTGTATCAGTTTTTTTCCCCCTCAGTGAGTTTTCTAGAATTTCTCTTTTTTTCTAACCTTATGACACTTCCAGATGTTCTGATTTCAGAACTGAAAGAAAGCAGGGCTTCAATGGGTTTTTTCTCACTGTTAGTTCTCCGTCTACTACAGGTTTTATATTTCGTACTCTAGATGTCTATAATACTTGCTGAAATCTGACAGCAGTTAGAACAAGCCCCATCTGCCCAACATGTGAACAGTGATGTCAGTGCCTAGCTCAAGGGCCTTCAAACCTGGCCCTTTTATGACTTGTGGACTTCAACTCCCAGAATTCCTCAGCCAGCATGCCTAGCTGAGGAATTCTGGGAGTTGAAGTCCACAAGTCATAAAAGGGCCAGGTTTGAAGGCCCCTGGCTAGTTATTGACTAGTTAGTGAGTGCCTCACTCTACTCCTCTAATTTGTATGAAAGTGAGCTTCTTTTCATCTCCTTCTCCCAAGTACGAGAGGGCTAGCTGAGTCTCCTCTGCTCACCAAGATGTCATACTTCCAGCCATGACAATTCTGTATTTTAGCTCTCAGTCCTGCCTCCTGGCCATCATGTCAAGAAGCCAAAATCAGGGCAAGCCAGTTGTCTACTCCCAACTGGAGCAAAAGGGAGATGGAACCAAGCATACTGGAAAGGCTGTAGCAATTGCTGAGAGGTTCAGTCCATTCCATGAGTGGACTGGAATCCATGGATGGCACTGCCATCTATTGTGCAGCTGTGGAAAGGCCAGACTTTCCATGGCCTTGTCAAAGGAATAATTTGGGTTCCATCTTGAGCCTGGGTTGCACAAGAATAAATAAAAATGAGATCCAGACAGCTGTGAGGAAAGAAGAAATACTTATTCCTAAAAGTAAAGAGTTTGCTTTTAGGGGCATCTGCAGAGAAATGGGATATATAAGGGACCTTGTCCTGGGTGTGGAAGTGTCTAGGGTGACATCTGAGGTATGCGTGTATGTGTTTGTGTGTGTGTAGGTATGTATTCTTGTGAACATGCAGTTCCACTTGGAGACCTAATTTAATTAATTCTATTTGCGTTTACAGACCTTATCCTTTGATATGTGGATAAGGTCTGGATAACCTATTTGGGGGGTTGAGGACATTTGAGTAAAAGATTTTCTCCCATTAGTTTTTTTTAAATTTAGTTTCAGCTTAATGGTCAATTATTTAGTGAAGACTCCAATTCTCAGCCCATTCTGGATTCTGTTCATGTTTTAAAGGAAGATGGAAACAGTATGAAGAATAAAATATATTTTGACATAAAACTTCTCACAGCCTCTTCTTAGACAAGAATTGCAAAATTGTAAAGATCCATCTCACCTTTATTTCCCTGCTTTTTGCAGAAATCCAGACAAAGGGATCCAGTTCCTGATCTCTCGAGGCTTCATACCAGATACGCCAATTGGAGTGGCCCATTTCCTGTTGCAGCGTAAGGGGCTCAGCCGACAAATGATCGGGGAGTTTCTGGGAAACAGCAAGAAACAATTCAACCGGGATGTCCTGGAGTAAGTGTCCAGCCCTGATCACCTGCTTCCTCTACCCATCAGCCACACTTTCTGCTATTAACCATGGTTAAGAATGTTCCTATAGATCAGACCTGGGTATTTTATGGCTCTTTGACTGCCCTTGTCTGGCCTGCATGAAGTTAACTGGAAATTAGAAATCATGTGTAAGGAAGTATGCCTCATGCATGCAATATAACTGCATTGATTTTATTTTGAAGGCAACTGCTGTTTTGTTTTGTTTTTTTCAATTTATGTACGTGTGTGCATGTGTGCCTATGCATCTTCACAGCCCTATTGGTTTGGCCCTCCATAGCTGCCCTGGTTTTTCATGTGGCCCCTTTGAAAAATTAATTGCCCACCCCTGCTATAGATACGTGCTTTAGTTGCTACCCACTTCCCTACTTGCTCCTGTTTTTCCAGAAACCTTGTAAGACCTGCTGCTTTATTTTCATCTGGGGAACATGGAGAACAATCCAACTGAATCAGCACTGCAGAAAGAATATGAGAGCAGCGCATCACAGGAGAAATAAGCTGGCTGTACAGTTTGTTTTACAAAAATGAATTATGGGAGGCCATCAAGGGAGGGCGTGGGGAAAGGATATAGTATGCTTGCTGCAGGATGGTGAACAGATTGGCTTCTCGGTTGTCCTCTTACAAAATTCTACTCCAAAATTTATTATAGACTTTGGAGCATTTTATCTCTTTGTCCACAAGTTAAATAAGGATTCAGTACTGGTAAATCACATACTTAGATCAGTGAGGACATCGCAGAGAAAGGAAACACTATGAAGAGTGGAGATGTAGGGTAGTTGAGGTTCTGTTTACAAGCTTAGCTCTTTATAATAGTAAACTGAATCTTTATCCTTCTTCCTCCAGTTTTTCTTTTTGTCTGTACATTGATCTGCATCAAGCCGGAATGCATCACCCTAGTGATGCATTCCGTATGCATAGAAACATATATTTGAAAGGATTTAAGTCAGAAACAATAAGATGCAGCAAAAGAATAAAGGGAAGAATGGAAGAGTCGTTTTTACTACTAGGTAGACCAGGGGTCTTCAAACTTGGCCCTTTTATGACTTGTGGACTTCAACTCCCAGAATTCCTCAGCCAGGCATGCTGGCTGAGGAATTCTGGGAGTTGAAGTCCACAAGTCATAAAAGGGCCAAATTTGAAGGTCCCTGAGGTAGACTCTAAGCAGCTATAAAAAAAAGTTTAACCTGCTTTCCATCAAACACAGGACTGTGCTCAATTGCTCTGTGATTAATAAAGCAAAAAGAAGGAGAAAAGTGTCTGGGTGGCTCCAGGCAGCACAAATCTTTAAGCAAGGAGAACATCTGCTTGATGTCAACCAGTTATAAATGGCCATTAGCAACCTGTTTGCCTGACATTGTCAAATTGATCTTCCTCCTCTATCACGTTTCTCCCCTTAGTTCCTACCTGCAAGATTATAAGGCTGAGGACAAAAAGATTGCTCAGCCCTGGGTCCTTATGGGGAAGGTTTTTACTTCACTTGCTCTCATCCTGGGGGTAGATGTGCCTGCTTGAGTCAGAGATTTCTTGTTTGGACTCCCTCTCCTTCTAACTGGGTTCTTGCATTTTGCAAAGGCAGGATATGGTTAACCTGTTTGCTTAGTGTATGTGGTTTGTAAGTCATGGTTCTCGCTTAACATGTTAGATGATTCTGATCAACTGGGGCTAATTTAACAAACCATGATTAGTATAATTAAAGTTTAGGCCAGTATATGAATTTAGTTCTCACTCTCTTTCCATTTCTTTCTTTCTGCGTGAGAGGAGTAGACTTTGCATTATTTAGTAGACCTGCAAGAAGCAAAGATTTAGTATATGGCATGCTTCAGTCTTGCCTCCAGCTGTTCTGCTTGTCATAACGTAGCTATTATTTTCCTCCATGGTGAGGAGAGTCTAGTTCAAAATGAGCAACATTTGAATTAATTTCTTTCTTTTTTTTAATGATAACTAAGATATGGGTTCTACCAATCCTAGGTAGAATCTCAGTTGCACAGAAAAAAATGGAAGGTATTAAAACAGTGATGTATGTGTATATTTCATTTTAAATACTGACTTCTGATAGCTTAATAGAATTCAATTTGTTAAGTCTGTAATTTCATAGAACAGAACAGAACAGAATAGAACAGAACAAAATAGAATAGAACAGACATGTCAAACTTGTGACGTCACGTTACGTCGCGCAACGTATCGGAACTTTTTCTCCATTGCCGGCAATGGGATGGGCATGATTTCCCGATGACTCATCCGGCCTGCGGGCCGGCAATTTGACACACCTGGAATAGAATATTCTTTATTGGCCAAGTGTGATTGGACACACAAGGAATTTGTCTCTGGTGCAGAAGCTCTCAGTGTACTTGCAAAGCACCTGAGTAATAAAAATCATAATAATGATAATAAGAGAGGGTAGTAGAGAAGATGAGAAGGATAATAATAATACTACAGCAATACAACATGGGTAAATATACTTTGACATAAGACAATACTGTGAGAATTTCCTCTTATGGTATACCAATACAATCAAAGTTTGCTAACTTTAAGACCTCAGATAAGGTGGAGAGTCTAATTACCATGCTTAGAAGCAGTGTACAATAGTTATAATTCCAAAAGACATCCAGGATTTTTTAAAAATCACAGTTTGTTAGAAAGTAGTAGGGAGAAATACATAGGGGATCACAGTTCACAAAGAATGGGTTAGTTAGCAAATCCCACTAAACTTAAAGCATACAAATAACTTTTGGGTTGAATGTTATATGTGTACCACACTTCAGCATTGTTATAGAAAAGAGAAAAAATACACATTGGAGAAGAAAACAATGGCATGCGACCTCCTTTGAAGCTTTTTTTTTTTTTTTAGAAATAATGATTGTGACGAGAGTGGCATCATTATATCTGCCCTGCTATCTTCATCTCTTTATCCACTTAGTTTTGACCTCTTGTTTGTCCTTGTGGGTCATCGTTTTGCCCTGATTCCATTCAACTTTTTTTTCCTTTCAGTATGTTCTGAAAATGTGGTATTCTTTGCATTCGTTCATAAACTGTAAGGAGTGAACCGCTCTGGTAACTTCATTGGGGGTGGATTGTTTGTTCTGCTGGTATAAAGATCCCGGGAAGGTCAGATGCAACTGTCTGCTTCAATTTCTGTTCTGATTAGGGTTCTTTTTTCAAATGCAAGAGACATTCTGGTTAATGGAAGCAGGCTGCTTTTCAGACTGGGGCAATCTTTTCTGATGGTTTTTCCTGGAGGACTGGTCTGCTCATCATCTGGAATTTGTAACTCCTCTGGAAAATTGGCTGAAAGCAGTCAATCTGGTTTACAGAAAATGGCCCTGAATCTTGCTGTTTATGTGCAGGAAGGAGGGTCAACTTAAAAAGCAGGTACAGAGTGTTTGTTCTCAGAACATCATAATCACAACAATGTTGTCTCTCTAGCTATTAAGCTTTACAGCTCACACTTGCTCTGCAGGGCCTTGCCTAAATTGGTTGAGTTGCGTTGCTCTTGTATTTTCAAACACAGAAAGAGAGAGAGGGAGAGAGAGGGAGGGGGAGAGGGGAGGAGAGAAGACTTGGTTATCCTTTCAAATCCACACATCAAACTTTGTGATGCCCTTTGCTAATCAAAACAAATGGCTTTTAAGGAGAAAACTACAAAATCTGCTACTTGGGGGGAAATGGTTTGCAAATCTTCTACCATGGGCAAAATGGCAATAAAAATGATATGAACAATGGAGGGGGGGGAATCAAAAACATTCTTCTAAATCTTATAGACGTTTTTCTTTTTAAAAAAATTCAGAATGGGAGGGAAAGAGTAATAGAAAAATAAAAAAGTAAGAGAAATAAAAATGGATGGATTCACAAAAATGAGAGACTGAAGGAAACAGAAGCAGATAAATTCCTCCATTTCTGCAGCATTTCTGAATGATTTTACATTTCAGTTTTCCCAAACTCTACATGCAAAATTGATGCCATATTGTATGGAGGACTTTCTATGTGCAAAGTCTATGTTTGAGCAAATGCCTTCCTTAGAAAACCAATTTATTTATTAAATTATTATAGCCAAGTATCTTACATTTTGTAGCTCTAGGTCAGAGATGTCAAACTCACGTATCACGGCTTTTTCCCCATTGCTGGAGCTGGGGCGGGCGCAGTTTTGGCATGACGCATCCGGCCTGTGGGCTGGCAGTTTGACACCCCTGCTCTAGGTGGTACACACAGTTAAAATAACAATCCCCCCAACAAACAAAGCAATTTTAAAAATCCATTAAATTAAAACAGTTGAAAAACATAACAACAACAAAACTAGAAGAGTGCATTCCAAGTTTACACACAATACAACCATTTAGCAAGATCGACATTTCCGTGGGATTACCAGGACTGATGGCAAAACCATGTTTCTAGGGCCTTACAGAAAGCCAGTAGATTTGGAGCCAATCTAAGTTTGGGGGAAATGATGTTCCAAAGGATGCCATAGTAAAAAATGCTCTCCTCTTGGGCTTTGTCAAATGAAGCGATTTGGCTGATGGGACTTGCAAAATGTCTCTCCTGCCAGACCTAATGGGATGAAGAGAGGCAGTCTCTTGAGCAGGCCGTGAAGGGCTTTAAATAGGAGTGACGAACCATAGCAACTTTAAGACTTGTGGACGTCAATTCCAAGAATTCATAGTCCTCAATGCACACTAGGGGTTTTTTTTACATTTTTAAAAAAAATAACTGAATTAAAATAATGAAGGGAAAGAATATAAAAAATATAAAAGAAGAAGAAAAAAAGAAATAGGATTGTATCTATTGTATCTATCATTGTTTTCCTTGTCCTGCTTCTATTCAATACTTTGAGATATCTAGCTCCTATCCTTTTTTACATCCTGTTTATAGGTCTCTGATTCTGCAACAGTTCACATAAGGAGAGTAAGGTGCATGGTCAAAGTGGTTGGTGAATATCAAACATGCTTAAATTATTGGTATTCCCCAAGGTGGAC